GCTATGTGGGTCAACCGGCTGGCGCCCGTCTGCATTCTTTGCGTCAGTCTGTTTGCGTCTGTCTCACATACAACTAATCCGAATGTGTTGTTGGATATCCCCCTTGTCACATAGTCGCGAATTTTGGTCATTCTTTTTCTATATGTCGCATGTGTGTTTGAATTGTGCCTACCTTGCTTGACTCACTGCCGGAGCAAAAATAAATCGGCTCTGGTGACTGAACTTTTAAGCTTTTTTGTACAAAAAAAGGTCAGTGCATCGTGTTAAACCTGCTTTCGGTGACAGTCATTGCATGAGGGGGGGGCTGTCATGCACCCCTCACCCAAGGCTTTTTAGGATACCTCTCCGGCAGGCTGTACAATCACCTTCAAACCGGCGCACCGGCGGACCTCGGGCGGCTCGCGCAGCGTCTCCGGGCGGACCTGCGGCGGGTGGTGCGTCGTCTCGGGGCGCACCTCCGGCGGCTGGTACGGCGTCTATGGGTGTATATCCGGCGGCTGGTGCGGCGTCCCGGAACGGACCTCAGGCGGCTGGTACGGCGTCTAGGGGTGTATATCCGGCGGCTGGTGCGCCATGCTCCAGCAGGCCATCGACCCGGGCGACTGAACCCCACGCGGCCGCGCGGCCGCGGCCCAGCGAGAGCCGCCACACTGTCAGAGAACGGCAGCACCGAGCGAGACGGCGCGTCACGGACAGAGAACCATTTGCGTCTTCTGGTGACTGATGAAATGGTGGGCACTCGTACGAAGCAAGATGGAAATTTGCCGAACGGGACGTGCCGCATAGTTTTGCCAATGCCGGGCTCCCCCGCTGTTGGGTTGATCAGGTTTGAAGCAAACCACTGCACGTTGGCGCCGCCTGTTCATGTGCAAGAGAAAGCGTTGGAAATGTCCTGCCATATTTCCTAAACAATATACACGTAGCCCTGAAAAAATCACCTGGACAAATGACATCCAAAGCATTTGCTAATCCGAAAACCATTTGAACTATTTTGTAGCAATCTTTATAGGAGGCGTGCACCAAAATGCAATTGATGGTGCAGCGTCAAACACCTAACTGCAGATTGAAGCTGTATTTCAGGCCGTAATCATGGCATTGGAAGAAAATGGGTGCAGAGCATCGTAATGAAGTTGGTACCTGAGAATAACATATAACTCACTTCGGAGCTATTGACAAATATAATCTCATTTGCATCGAATGACGAACTGCCACGTCGAACCGTAATGAAAAAGATGCAGGCTTCTTCGGTTCAATTGTTCCAGCTCGGTTCCGAACGACAGCAGTTCTCTTTAGAAAGCACATTCGCCAGCCTACGTAAGTTTTGTATGCATTGCATTTAGCCCATAAGACCAGTAGATTGCTGAGTATGGTGAAATGTCCACACTACAATCGTTGAGTACGTAAACTGCATAAACTACAACCGAACAACAAACAAAGCCTCAGAGGAAAAGTGGGAGATGAATTAAAAGTGGGAAGCATTGGAATGAAGGTGTAAGGGATTGCAACACACACTCGTGCTGCCCGGTTGCCCTTGGTGTGGGCGGGGATCGAGGCGCATTCGAGGGCAAGGTCATGGCGCTATCCGGTAAGGTTAGCGACTTGACGGATTCCTTAGTGGGACATTCGTCCTCCCTATTCACTGCCGTCCTTATGCACGATTTGTTTGATGTCGAGCTGCATTAGCCACTTCGCTGCTCCCGTGAGCCGAAACAGAACACAATGGTCGCCATCAGCGTGGGTGGAGAAGGCGACGCAGTCGGGCCGGGCCATGCACATATGCTGGTAGCGACAGCCGCCTCCGTCAGTAGGGAGCACGGCGTAGGTCGGTTCCCTCCTTCAAGTATGGAGTACGGCGTAGGTCGGCTCCTTCCCACCAGAAGGGAGCACGGCGTATTCCGGCTTCCTCCCTCCATTAGGGAGCACGGCGTAGGCCGGCTCCCTCCCTCCGGTAGGGAGTACGGCGTAGACCGGCCCCCTCCCTCCAGTAGGGCGCACGGCGTAGGCCGGCTCCCTCCCTCCAGTAAGGAGCACGGCGTAGGCAAAACCCTCCAGGACATCACCGACCAGAGAGAGCTGATACGGATCACGATGGAGGTGGTTAAGCTTTACCATCACCAGGCAGATGGCGAACAGCGCCGTCAGCAGGTTCAACAGGGCGAGAGGAATGGCCACCTCCTGCTGCCATCTTCACCGGCAAACTGTGCAGGAGTGCCGAAGACTCGCCCGGCGCGGCCATGTGGATCATGCGGTGCCGGTAGCTTCGATTAACCCTTTGCAGTGCAGTGCTATTGTTCTGTCAATGATACTGGCCTGTGCGATTAAGCTTAAACTGTAGAGACGGCTGACAAAGCTCGGACTTAATAGTGGAGCTCTGGATGAATGGCTGTGCAGGAACGAGTGAGTGCTCTTCATTGGTGTGCGCGATGGCAGGCCTCAAATCTAGCGCGTAAGGTTAACACACGCTCGGGTGGGGGGTCAAATTGACCTCCCCCCCCCCCCCCCCCCCCCACCCGAGCGAAGGGTGTCTAGCGGCCCACCCGGGCGCATGTTAAATCACGCATCTTTTTAGAGCAAAGTGGTACATTATGTATTGTTAATGCCCATGTCTGGCTAAAAGCTTTAAACGTATAAGGAGCAAGCTCATTAAAGGCCAAGCAGATTGCAGTCGAATTACGGCAGTTACGGCAATTACGGCTGCAGCACGTACATGAAACAAGCGCATCAATGGGCTTAAAGTGGTCTTGGGCCCGCCAGCAAGACTCAAGGCGTTTATAGACGCGGTGTGCTAAAATAAATTAATACGCGAGACACTACCCGTCCAACGACACGACATAGGTACTCGAACTACTTGCACGTGCGGTTTTAGCCAGTTGGCATCCTGCCCACGATGAAACCTGCCTGAACAAGGGGGCGCGTTGGTTGGTTGGCACTTTGCCACCTTGCGACACACAAAGAACTCGATCAGCCGGAGGCTCGGACGTGGGGCGGAGGCCATACATGGACGCGGCTGCCGTGTACGCCGGGCCTCCCACCCACTCAGTTTACGACGCCCTTACCGTAGCGAGGCCGCTCTCGTTCGGCCGCCTCAGCGCGGCGCGCTGGCGGTTCAGAGCTCCCGTCCAAAACAAACCACGCGTCTGACGAGCACTGCCGGTGCCGGTCACAGACGACGCCTTTGTGGCGTCACGAAACTTTTACAGCATGGTACATTCATGGCTGAAATGAATTCCTCACAACTTTTCTCGGAAGACATCAGCGACATCAGCGTGCGCATCATGTATTAAGAAGATGGCATGCGTTGAAGCTGCGAGGAAGCGTTCACATCCTACTTGAAATTGTCCTCCGTCTCCCATCTACGCAACATCTACGGCGGCATAGTCTTACAAATCACAGCAGCACGCCCGTTCGTTATAACACAAACCGCCGGTAAAATCAAAAGCCAGGGTTCGTGCCGTTCTCCCTGCATACCGCCACCTCAGTCAAAATCAGGCCAGGTGACGTCGGTCGGCCGGCAGCCCGCCAGATGGCAGCATCGTCTGACGCCGCATCTCTTCGTGCACTTGGAGCACAAGGTGGGGAACACTGTCGGTGCCGGCAACGGTTTTAGAGCCGGGGTTGTTGGTGGAGGGTGCTGCACGGTGGGCATCTTCGTCCCAAGCATCGACGCGCTCTGGAGATAGAGGTGACGGCTTTACCCGCAGACCGCACCGAGAGGCGCGACTTGTTCGACGTTTAGGTGGGAAGAAAGATCGAGTCGGCACAAGTCCAACCCTCTTATCCTCTATCTTGCCTCATCCTGCATCCTCGCGATGCCCCGCTTGTTTAGGGCAGGCTGCATGCGTCAGTCACGAGTGGGCGGAGAGCCCGTGGGAAAGGGGGCCCCGACCGAGCATCCATCGCACCTATTCTCTATCTTGCTTCAATATGCGTCCTCGCGGCGCCCCACTTGTGCAGGGCGGGCTGCATGCGCCAGCCACGAAAAGGCTGACAGACCCCCAGCAGGCGCCTCGCGACCGGGTGCTCAGCGCATACCCCGAGCGGGGTCCCTGCGCCGGCAAAGCTCGTCGGTTGGCCACACAGGTGTATGCGCGGCTGCCCCACCGTTAACTATTTTTTCTTCATCCCATAGCCCTAAAATGATCATCTGGTCGAAAGAGCTCTAATCCAACCAACCAAACATCCGACTAACCGATTGAGTTGGGGTGGGAAATCCTTGTGCATGAAAAAATTGGAAGCCTAGTAGCACGTTGACAGAGGTATGTTTTAAACTCGGGGATGAGTGGCTAATAGGACCCCCCCCCCCCCCAAATGACACTTAACATCTATAGGGATTCTGTAAGTTCAATAGACGTCACTCCACAACAGTAACGCAGCAGGTTGCAGACACTCGTGAAAAGCAAACATTACGACGCTTTCAGGTCATGGCCTTACCATTGCCGAGTGCAGAACGACTGCGAGAACCTGGAGCCACCCAAGGAGACGCATCCTCGCCTCGAACGCCTCGGCGCCGTGCCGCGCTTGCTGCCCAGAGCGCTCGCCTCGCGCTGCCAGCCGCCGCCTGCCAGCGCTGCAGCCCGTCTGACAGTGGCGCACTGCTGCAGCGGTCTGAACTGCGCCGCTGGGCGCCCTCCCACAGTGCCACCTACCGACGCGGCGTCTGCGCGGCCAGGCGCCGCTTTAGCACCAGGAGGTCCAATCGCAGCAGGACCTGGGCCGTGCCGGAGACATTATTCTGCAGTGCTATCTATGAGCCGGCAATGGGGTTTCCCCACCATCACCGCTGGACGGCGGCCTCGTGAGACCCAGCCAAGGCTGCAGACACAACGCTCGGCCGGAACGCGAGCGGAGAGGCCTACATCGTGACCCGTGACCGTAACCTGAATCCTCGCTGGAAGTGTTCCGAGGTGAACGTCACGCTTTTGACGCAAATAAAGGAGGCACCCTTCATCAGCAGAAGCTCTGAGACTGCCGCACTGGGATTCGCGTATGTTCGGGATCTGCTGCTCGTGAAAGCTACGCCGCGCAGCGTGTTCCACCTCTCTAGTAAGCGGACACCTGGAAGCGTTGAGTCTACATGTCTGATTGCCATTCTGACTGCATTAACGTATGCAAAAACGCTCCGTACGCAAGGTTGCATTGATGGCATTGCGTGCAATACAGCCACCGGCTATAGGCTGGAAAACGGCTGGAAATCCAACGGCTGGAAACCAGCCACCGGCTACCTGTTGGCGGCTACCGTAATTGTATTGGTGATTTGTATTATTTTTAATCAATTGATTATTCGTAATTGTAACAACTGAGTGCGAAGTCTGCAAGTAAGTTCCCGTTTTGCTGATGCCAGCTAGACGACCTCCTCCCCCTCACTTGCACCCACCTGAAACGACCACAAAACCAGGATGTAATTACAAAATTGCCAGAGGTGAGGCAACAGTCAGAACCTTCAGAGAAACAGTTACAACACGGCACGTGGTGGAACTAGACAGAATTTCGTCTCTGAAACATGTCAGCTTCTTTTGACAGGCCGGCACGGCATCCCGTCTGCCAGCGGCGCACTGCCACAGCCGCCTAAACTGCGCGGCTGGGCAGTGACATCATCATCCACCTGACGCTCTCACCCACCCAGATTACGCTGCCGGCTGAGAATTGGACGCTACGTGTTGGATGCGAGAGATTCGTTGTAAAACTGGTGCAGTATAGCATAGGCATGGGCATCATTTGCACAGACATTATGGAAGTGCGTACCAAGTAATTGCCAGATCAGGTCGGAAAATAAACATCTGAAAACTCCTTGATATTAGCAAAACACTGAACTTCGGCTGCCGGTTTGCAGAGGTTTGCACTGGTTTGATGAGCAAGCAGTTTTCATGCTGAGCTATGGACCTCAGCTATGCCAGGAAGTGCTGGTTTAACGACGTTATAGGGCAAACATTGGTTACATAGACAGTGCTGGACGCCTCAAGCTGTGCTTATGATCACATCCTCGGCTCGAAACACCCGTCAGCATAATTATGGATGTTTTCTCTGCAACGTCGTTTTATTAGTACCCCATAGTCTATTAAAGGTCGATAACTGAGCATGAGAACTTTGAGCAAACAATATCTGTAATTCCTATAACGAGCAGTCCATTTAAAGAAAAGACGGGAAAATAGAACCCATTTTCCAGGTTTATCATCAAAAATAAAAAGAACAACACAATAGTTTGCAGCTGCACGGTTCATACCCAGAGCATTCTCAATGCGCTTTCTGCACCCTCATCGACAGGGTGCAGAGAATGTCTCACGACAGCTACCTGCACGCCTCCCAAAAGATGATCCCTGCAACGAACCCGATGGTAGCCTTTGCCTCCTGAACCGTGCAAAACTCGATGGCAGCTTTTACCTCCCGAACCGTGCAAAACTCGATGGCAGCCTTTGCCTCCTGAATCGTGCAACACCTGTTTCTGTACACGTTGCCTTTCAGGTATCCGCGCAAGCAGAAATCTGGTGGGCTGATGTCAGTGGAGGAAGGCGATCACTCGTGTTGCATGCGTTAGAAGATGATGCGATTTTCGACACGCGCTTGGAATCCATTTCTAGTTCCTGACAAGGTGCGTGGGGTCGCACCGTTTTGTTTAAACCACTGGCCTTCTCTTGATGCCTTCACTTTCCCGAAGCCTCTCCACATATTCTCCAGAGCCTCACAATGGCTGCCGGTGTTCACAGGAGCTGTATTTCGATCCTCCTCGAGCCAAGATTTCTCATTCGATCCACGGCTGCTAATTTGATCAAGGTTACCGACGCTGTACACTTCTCTCCGTGAAGAAGCTTTTGAAACATTTCTCTCGGTGGTGATGATGCCCAGAACACCGCATCCATTCTGCTGACTTGTCCATGGAGGAAAATGCTCCGTTCCTGAGAATCAGAAGATCTTCAAGATGTCAGTGTAGCTGGCCGCATGGTCCTTGCGAACCAGTCACACACCTGCATGCTCTTGTGCAGGTCCCCGCCAGAAGAGGCATGCTTGACCTGAATGCAACAAGGGAGCCATTTCAAGTCCGGACGCGTGACCCACCACAATGAGCTGGACGAAACACCGAGATCTTGTTAGTATCGGCTAAGGAAATGCTGGGGACTCTTCTCCAAGGGAGCATCAGCCGTCAGCTTTTAGCGTTTCGAACTGTTCCCGCGATAGGGAGTTGCATTTGAAATTGAGCTGAGCCCGTCTCTTGGCAGTCACTACTGATTTGACTCGAAGGAAAACTTCGTCGATTCGCCACCTTTGGTTGATGCACAGCGGTACGTCGCTCGCTGATCAAAATCAGCTCAAGATTAGACACAAAAGAATCTTTGAACTGCACTTTTATCCACATAAAGATCACATGCATCTGCAAATGCGCTTCTTTTATTGAAGGCCTTTTCGACACACTTGTTTCTCAACCATATAGTGCAAGCATGACAGAACATGGCGTAGGTCTCAGAAAGAGCCATCACTTGGTTACAGGTCTGGGCGCGGCAGGTTGTGGGCAACCGCGTTCGGACGGCAATCTGGGTGACCTGGGCCCAACACGAACATGCCCTTGGAGCAGGTCATCTATTGGATGATCACGTACATAGCCGCGTTATCGCCGTCCACCTTCAGGAACTGGATCTTGCCGCCCGTGTGGTCGAGCCCCATCACGATGTCGGTGGGCGTCAGCGTAATGCGCCCACCGATCCCCCCCCCCCCCCGTGCTCGAGGCTCCTCCCCACAGGTGAAGCAGACTCAGGCGGTGGCGGCGGCGTCCTCCGGCATCGACGCCGTCGGATCGAACAGGTGCACCTCGCAGCCGCGCGCCAGTATCTGCCGCTCGAGGCTCCAGTCGGCGCCGACGCCGACCGAGTAGACGAGGCAGCCGGCGGCGACGGGCGCCAGCGGCGCTTCGAAGCAGACCGACTTGCTGCCGACGGCGCGCAGGTCGCCGCAGCTGGACGTCGCCGTCTCCAGACAGTCGGAGACGAAGCGGTGCATCTGGTGATCCCTCCCCGTGATCAGAGGGACATCTGGCGATTCCGCTCCGCGATCAGAGGGACATCTGACGATCTCGCTCCGTAACCAGAGGGACATCTGGCGATCCCGCTCCGCGATCAAGGGTACGATGATGCTCAGTTGGCGTAGATTTCGGAGGCGGCCACTGCTCCGTGGCGCAATTGTTGAAGCTTGAGTCGTGCATAAAACATTGTTGACGCGATTCAGCCAACGATTACATTACTTTATCACTTCTCAATGCAAAGATTGGTTCATCCAAAATGGGGAGCTGATGCTATGACAGAGCGTTGCTAGTAATTCCCTCGTGAATATCAAGTCGCTGTTTAGAGATGAAATGTGGTAGGAATAGAATAATTGCAGAACTCAGCAATACCTCCGATGTATGCTTCTAGCAGTTCCGAATGAGTAGCTCCGACGGATGAAAAGCCAGGATCCCGCTCATGAACGCTAAGGCCATCCCCTCCAGAAAACCTGACGATAAACTTGCATTATCACCCAGCACGTCCAAACATGCAACAAGCGAACGAATCGATTTCATGTCAGCACAATGAGGTCTGGAAACTCCCCTACATTTCCAGCTTGGTGAGCTCACTGCATAGCGGTGACGTCAGTGGGTGGCCGGGGTGTACCAAGCACCACAAGGCAACACCCTGTCTCCACAAGGCCGCTTAGCCCGATCATCGCTGCCAACGACGCCACGGATGCTCCATTAAGAGACCAGCATTGACCCTGGATCAGGGTCGTCCGCTGGCCCAACTCCAACGGGTGCCGCAGACACGCGACGTCGGGGACGGTGGACACAGCAGACGGGCGGACCAACGGCGGACAGTGGGTGCAGCGGCCGGCAGGCAGCGAAGACAGCGGACACTGGGGTCACAAGCGGCTTTTTGTCGACTCGTGAGAGCTTCACATTCACTTGCGACTGTTCTTGGTTGCCTGGAAGCCCAAAAATGTCCAATCGTGTCGCGTTTCCTGAAAAATCTGCGTCTGCTCGGCCGGCTTAGAGCCCCTTTGGAACCTATGGACTCATTCGGGACTCTGACGGGACGGGACGGGACTATGGACACGTGGTTCAGCTCATGACCTAAAGCGACAGGTTTCCTAGTGAGCCGGCTCAGCCCACGACTCACCCAGAAACCATCGAAGCATCAGCTGATACATGATTCAGCTTGAATCAAACACAAGCCTGCCTCTGGGAACCCCAAGAGAATTCACCTGTCTCTGAGAGCCTCAGGGTAATTTACCTGTCTCTGAGAGCCTCAAAAGATTGTACATACCTCTGAGAGTCCAAAAGAGCTTACCTGCCTCTGAAAGCCCCAAGAGAGTTTATCTTCCTCTGAGAGCTCCAAGAGAGTTGACCTTCCTCTGAGAAATCCAAGAGAGTTTACCGTCCTCTGAGAGTCCCAAAAGAGTTTACCTGCCTCTGAAAGCCCCAAGAGAGTTTACCTTCCTCTGAGAGCTCCAAGAGAGTTTACCTTCCTCTGAGAAACCCAAGAGAGTTTACCTTCCTCCTGGAGCCCCAAGAGAGTTTACCATGCCTTATATTGCACTTGTGTCTGAAATGGCGCTCTTATGCAGGCCAAAGCGGGCACC